TTTGAATTATTTTCCATTTATAGACATGTACTCTGTCGTATTGGAGAGGAGTCTATCAGCTGTTGAAATAGGAGTATCGGGTCCTTGTCTGCTCAGGTTGCAAGACAGCGCTATTGTCCTTTACTCAGAGTGTGGACGGAATAAGTTACATAATTGGGCAGCAGAGAATGTAAAGAACCTCTCTCTTGGAGTAGAGCAGTTACTTCTGGAGGTTTACAGGTTAGAAAATAATAAACTAGAATGTTTTCTTAGTATAGTCATCATCATTTTTATAATTTTGCTTGACAATGTACATATGTAGCCTAACTTGTATACATAGCTGACTATTAATATGATTATTATCCATACAAGCTTGGTAAACACTCATTATAGCTAAAGGGCATATCTTTAGAGCAATTTTAGCTAATGCAGACAATTTTAGCGAGTTTGAACAAGTAGAATTAGACCAGTACACTATACCATGATGGGAGCCAAGCTGAAAAAAGTTGTTCCAAAAATTAGCTCATTCCTAGAAACGCTAATGAGTGAGTGAGCACCAGTCTTTTCCCATTTGTACTAATTAGTAGCAATGGGACTAGAGCCAATTGACTAATTTTCTGCATCTTTGTTTCATGTGCATCATGGAATAGCTATAGTGCAATAGCGTGAGTTAAATGAGCCTGTATATGTAGATATGATGAATGCTGTGATTATTATGAGTAGCATATGTTAATATTCTTTCTTTCCTCCATCCCTCCCCCTCTCTCTTCCTCTACCCCCTCTCCCTCTCTTTTCTGCATCCTCTCTCTCCCTTCCCCCCTTTCTCTCTCCCTTCCCCTTTCTCTTCTTCTCCCCCTCCCTCTCTCCCTCCCTCCCTCTCTCTCTCCCTCCCTCTCTCTCCCTTCTCCCCTCTCTCTTTCCCTTCCTCCCCTCTCTCCCTCCCCCCTCTCTCTCTTATCACAGACCAGGCAATAAAGCATTGACAGAATTCATTTTCAATGTGGAAATGAACGTCGGGCGACAGATACTCACCTCATGGAGTATGTCACTTTTGGAAAACGTCGACCCACGGAAGCTCAACCTGATATCCAATTACATACTAAGCACTCAAGGGAACGGAGGAGGGAAAGAGGCCAGCAAATCCAACAGCTTGTCAAAGAATTTCTTTGGCACCCTCAAGCAAAAAGGATCACAGACAAATATCAAAGATGAAAAGGGTACGCAAACGTACAGTTATACATGTACATGTATCCAGTACAAATGTTTAGAGGGTGTTTTGTGTATGATAATGATAATTGTCATTATCACTTCTATACCAAAGCAATTTAGGATGGAGACACAGAGTCTGTGCCCTGTTGTACCATGCATGTAACTAATGAAATCAATAAATGCAAAATGTGCATGTACATGTTTCATGCATGCACGTACATTCAGTGAAATTCTTAGCGTCATACATTTGAGTTGACTGGAATGCAGTAATTAATTACATCATTGATGATAATGATGTACTACTACTAATAGAATGAATGCAACACTATATAATGATAATGATGATAATACTAGTCCATAAAAGCCTAGAGGCAATGATTATACCAACTGTAAAAACTCCCTTGTTTTCCATGGTACTGACATCACCATGACAATCCTATTTGAAATGTCAGCAATTCCCATTTTCTGTTAGGAACTAAATGGAATGTTATCATAATTGAAATTAATTAGATTTTCTCTTGCATTGAATTGGCTTGTGGATGGGAATGAATTAGCGAAGCATTCGTCGATTAGCAGGAAGAAAAGACATGTACTTGTAATGATGCGTACGATTATATGCACTGATTCTGAGACCATAGATACTACAAACATCTATGCTGAGACTAAGACTAAAGCTGGGTTTACATAGCAATGCAAAACACATGTTTTAAAACAATGAACTTCGAATTTTGTTTTCATAGAGTTCTATCAAGATTCTTAGATCATGTTTTCATTCGTTTCAGTGT